AGAATTATCGTTTGTTCCGACTGAAATCCCGACTGCACTAAGCTCTAATGAACATTTTTAGAGGTTTCTCTTCCTGACGATACCACCGGTGGAGAGGATAGTTCCACCGGCTCGCCAGGAGAATTCGTTCGTTCCGCGGCGAGGCGGCGCACAATGGACCGAATCAATGGGAGAAGCCGGACATAAAATTTTTTACTAAAACTGCAAATTTAGATAATTATTTCGTCAAATTTTAAATTTTGAAGGGTGAATCTGTAAAGTTATTTTACGAGGCAACTAATGGAACCATTTTTAAGATCTAGGTACAGAATTAAGCACTCTAATACGTGTTTCTTAACCAAAATTTTAAGTAGAACACAATTCGCGCAACGAACATTACTGAAATGAACTCCAATCAAGATATTTAACGTATCTTGACGCGTGAATTCAAACTTCCCGCTCATGAAAACTCAATGGTCTGTGTGAGTCTAATCGCACACTAAACGTTACCGTAGCAGTCTCTGCTATACGAATATATTGACATCTCAATCTTAACGCTTTAGCTCAGATGCAGCGAATTGTATACGCAACAATAAAGGCTGGGAAATGAACATTGTTTGATTGAGAGGCCTGCCAAAACCGTTGTAGTGCGCGATTTGACTCACGTCGAGTATTAGGTTTCTTGTAACCGGGCAATTCAAATATCCCATAACCAATGTAAAATAAAAACATGAATATCTTATTTAGAAATTAATGTTAGTAATTTTTTATGCGAGAATTGTGTTTTACGTAATATTCTGGTTAAAAAACTTGTATCAGAATTCTTAACTTGGTATACCTTGCGTAGTGGTCCGTTTAAATGTTTATTTCGTCAAATTATTATTAAGAGTGATTCTTGTAACTTATTTTACGAGAAAACCAGGGACCATTTATAAGACCTCATAATTTTGTAAAAAAGGAGTTAGGCTACCGTGCTAAGGAAGAACGCCGTATGAGCCTTCAAGCGTTGCCACATTTACTCCAATACAATACAAATTTACTGGGAAAATTGTGAAGATTTTTCTTTAAATTTTTCAGAAAATTTTGTTCGCAATCCAATCTAACATATCTGAATATTTCAAGGGAAAATAAGCATAACAATCGTCAAAAATACATGTTTTATTCGGGTAAATTTGACAACTATCGAATGTTCATACGGGGCTCTTCCTTAGCACGGCGGAATGGAGGTCGGACAAAATTTGGATACTTTAAAAGCTTATAACTCCGTATGTCCAAATTTTAAGGCTCTAAAAGTGGTCCCATTGGTTTCCTCGTGAAATTTTCAAGTGCATGCACCGATTATATGTCAAAATATGACGAAATAAACATCAAAATTTGCAGTTTTAGTTAAAAATGTTATGTCTAACTTCTCGCGTTGACTTGAATCGCTGTGCGGCGATGGGAGGAAAGAAAGTCGAGCTTGATTCGCGGCCGGGACGGGACGACAACGGCGAACCCGAGTTAATTTGTTGGAAGCGCGACTCGAACGAGAGGGGTCCCCGTGGCAGCAAGTCCAAGTCGGGTACAAGTGCAAGTAGGTAATCGCTCGCTAATTTAGCGGTTTTATTGTTCGCCTTGTACCAACAGCCGTTCCGACTTGTTCTGCCCGACGCACAACGAACCTCAACAGAGATTTTCCGCCAACGGTGTTGATGTGATGAAATAACAGCAGTGCGGAAGGAGCACAAGTGGGTGGTTTAACTATGGTGAGGGTAGTAGTTTGATAAGTTCATTTTTTAGAATTTTTTAAGATTTAGAACCAGCGATGGAAAATTTTATGAAAGGATGTGTCCCGTTAAGGAGGGTATTTTGGCCCTAACTTCGGTCGAAAATTGAAACAGCTTAGAATAATGTCATGTATGGTCAAATCGACCCTTAATCATCCACCCTGTGAGAACTTGTCCTTATTTGAGGTGTTTTTGAAAGGTTTTTGCCTGATTTACCAGCGCAAAGTAGTGAAGTTTTGCAGTTTTCTTCGAATAATTACTCATTTTCGGTCCTACATTAGATTGTTTATGTATGAGCGCAAGTGGCTACCACTTTCGTATTTGAATATGTTAATCTTTAGTAAACCCATTACAACATATTTAAAGGAGAAAGTGGTGGTCGCTTGTACTCATACATGAACAATCTAATTTAGGACCGATAATGAGCAGTTTTTCGAGAAAACTGCAAAACTTCACTACGTTGCGCTGGTAAATCAGGCAGAAACCTTTCAAAAACACCTCAAGTAAGGACAAGTTCTCGCAGGGTAGATGATTAAGAGTCGATTTGCCCATACATAACATTATTCTAAGCTGTTTCACTTTTCGACCAAAGTTAGGGCCAAAATACCCTCCTTAATGGGATACATCCTTTATTCGCGTAAAATTTCTTCAAATTTCAAGAAATTGTTCAAGACTTTGGGGGATGCATTCAGGAGGCCAAGTAATGCCTAGAAACAGTGCTTCTAGATTTTGAAAATTTTCACCCCAAGCTTAAAACATGCACACGTTGCAAATGTTTTCGTTAGGTTTAGGGACGGTTAGATTGGAGCTTTTTCCCTCTAGACTCCCTTTCGTCCCCCCCTTCATGTAAAGCATCTCAGTGTGGTAGCAAAATACTGTCGCATCAACAGGAAGACCATTTAAAACGCTTCCGGATCTCCAAAGATTCAATTAATAATGCCAAAAAAAGTAACACATTTCAAAACGTCAAATTTCACTTTCCATCTTTGCTTGAAACATATACGAGGCGTATGGTTGTAGGATAAGGCGTTTAATCCAATAAGAAGCAGTGACCGCGCTAAGTTGCCGTTTGATCGAAGAATGTATCGTGATTTTATCAACGTGGCTATATTGCGATATTATCGAGCAAAAAATCGTGATGAATTGAGATAAAATTCGATTTTATCAAACGCGATGTTACAGAGAAAAAATTGCGCCAAGATGGAGGATAATTGCTGAGATGTCGATGACTGGCGAATTTATCGCCAACACATTGTAAGGAAATCGCAACTTAATTTGAAAAAATCGCGATTTTTCCGTTGAAAACTGCCACCAAAGCTAGTAGCACCACATCGATGACCAAAGTGCGAAACCAAGTATCTCCATTATAGTGTTTCAGCACTTCCACTCCTATTTTATGTTTTCAATCCAAATAATAATTGATGAATGTTGGGGTCACAAAATAAATTTGTAATTGGGAATGTAGATTGAATTAGCTAATTATTTTGTATTTTATTATCTGTATAATCTTGAAGATGTAATCATGTAGTTTGCTTGGCTTTTTGTTTTTTGCGTTCGTATCTTTGTATTCGGTGTGCTTTGATTGCTGTAGATAATTTTAGTAATTAACTTTGCACACTTGATTGAAATGGGCCTCAGGAATGAAGTAAATAATAAAAAATTTGCAGTATAATGATCAGGGATTCAATTCTTTTCATTACTTTCAATTTTATTTTTGTATTTGCAGCTTCTCCAAGCATGTTTAAATATGGAGTAATTCTGTCTGGAAGTAAGTTTCTGTATAAGAATTAATAAAATTTTATTCCGTGCATCAATTCTGGTTTTTGTATAAAACATTTGATCTTAGAAATAATGTCTGCATCTGATCTCTTTCAATAATGGGTTGTTTGATGTTAAAGAGATTAATTTATGAGCACGTTCCTCAATCACTTTACTAGGTTTTCTGCTCAATGAGAGATTGAGACCTGTCTACTTACATTTAATTGCGATAATTAAGAAATGAGAGGGACTGACTTTGATTTATCTATACAATTTTTAAATGGCATGTAAAATAATGAACATTATATTTTCATAAAACCATTATTAAAAACTTTGCAACCCCTTGATATCAATGCCTTTATCGCAAGTTTCAGAACAGACGACGTCAGTTGACTCTTACTAGCGAGTATTGGAATATAATCTAGTGAGTCAGCCTTCAATAAATATAAATACAATTCGCAACACACCTCCGTGAGCTTGAATTGATTTACCGAGCTCAAATATTAGCCTCCGATATGTTTGATAGTGGAGCAACTGTATACTGGCAATATTGTGCAAATTATAATATTAAAAAGGTACTCTATGAACATTATTCTGAACGCATTTTGAATAGTGTGCCGTTTTTTTCTACAAACGTTTTACTGTCTTACAGAAAATGTGATTTATAAGAATTTTGATTTTCTTTTCTAAAAAAATGAATGATTTCACAGGGAAACTCGATGAATGCTATTCTCCTGATAAAATTGTTGAATCTTAAAACATTACTTATCAGCTTGCTTTGACTGGTGTGCTCTAACAAACTTTGAATATTCTTGCATAAATACTTTTTCTAATACGTTTGATTCTCGTGAGAATTTTTCCTACCCTCATCAGACATTTCTGTGTGATCAATCGTAAAAAGTCAATCTCATTCATAGAATTTCTGCAGGGGACAAGTTGAACTTATTTAATTTTTTCCGTTAAAAAATGATGCAAAAGTCGCACGATATTTAGAAGTAACTTCAGACTTAGGGTTTTACAAGATTAACTCTTAGGTAATAAATCAGAAATAATGTTTTACATTTTTTCCCCCGGATGATGCATTATTTTTGAAAATAAAAATAAATTAATACCGTTACTCAGCATTACGACAAAACACTAAATTTTCAATAGAGGGAAATGAGCTATAATTTTTCCATTCCGTTGTTTTTGACACTAAAAATGATGCTTCAGTTTCTAAAACACCATGAAACTTGCAATCAATAGCTATATTTTAAATTATTGACCATTTTACTATATTAGTAACCATTTGGGCATGGCATGGCTTAATAAATTTAGGGTGACTCGATTTTTTTTTTTAAAAAAAATGTTGCTTTATAATAAATTTGATTTTTGCTCCCTAGTTTCGTCACGGATAAAAAAGGATATTTTCGCGAAATTCATGCATTTTCAAGAAAAATTGTATACATCTATTTTCAATGGTGCATAAAGTTAGTTTCAAGGTAATTAATTACTCACCTTCAAACGATCCAAATATTTACGTCCAGAAAATTAAGAATCCAATCACAGGCAACGTCCACAAAATTTAGTCCGGCGAAAAAATTTCGACTCACTCGCACATGAACTTCGAGCACAAAGCACCAGCCGTCTCCAAAACGAGAGGAAACCCGAAAAACTCAAAACTTCGACACCGGGACAAATCACTGGGTCAAGCCGATGAAAAATTTCAACACGAAAAACCGAAAAAAAATCGTTCCGTCATCACAATTAGCCGATGAGCACCGCGCACATTTTCCCGCGCTCAGCGGTGATTTCCACGAGAAAGCTTTTCGAAAAATTCGCCTGGTGATAAATTTGCCGGGACCGCGGCGGGGCGCGTGTTGAGGTTATGTTTCCCGTGCGGAACGTCGCGTTGCGGCGCTTGGAGCGTGCCGTTCGGAAATGCGTGGCGTCTAGCACGGAGTGAAGGTAGCCCCATGAATGCATCCTAGTTTTGTTGAATCTGCATCTCGATCTCCCCCTCCCCCTCCCCCCTACCCCGGCCCGTCTTCACTTTTCCGCTTCTTCGTCTCCCGTCCGCTCTTACTTTCTCCGTTGCGGCCCCCGATACTTTTATTTCCCCCCTTTCGGAGCCTTTTTGAGGTATGCACATGCAAAGGCTCCTTGTTCTCTGAGTCTTTAAAATTTAGCTTACCCTTAATGGCATTAATTAATTTTGGATCTCAGATTCAGAGGGACACTAATGTGTTTTGTAGCTTGGATAAAAAACAAAGAGTGCCAAATTTTGTTTTCAAAATTTAAAATTTTTGAAATTAGTTGTTCAAAAAAAAACAAAAAAACAAAAAAACAAAGGAAAAACTAATGAAAATTTGCAAAATTATGCCAAAGAGGTAACATTCAATTTGTAAAAAAACCCATAACAAGTTGGATTTTGCAATCGCTAGCGATAGCAATATTCGTCATGGGAACGTTAGCTTCTGGGATATGAAAATGTTAAGGTACAGTTCGTTTGTAGTATCTTCTGAATTGAAGGGGCTATGTAATTTTGTGTTGACATCTCTTTTTTAACATTTTTAATTATTTTCTTTGCATACAAGAAAGCTGTTATGTACCAATTATTTATTTTCGTTGAATTATATATGGTTTTCGGAAGTTAACGCATTTAAGTTTCAGGTTCGCTTTTTCGGCGTAAAGTATACGTAAGGTGTCCCAAAAGCACCGGGACTTGTTCTGTAACTTCGAAAGTAAGATAGATACAGACATGATCTTGATTTCATTTTAAAGATCAACTCAATACTTATCGATTAAAACCAAGATCAGCTCAATCGGATAAAAATTGACCGAGTTATGGCAATTTGAAATCAGCGAGGAAAGTTTACGCCTACGATTTTTAAGGAAGATTCTTCATCGCCGTAAATCGAAAAGTCGGCCGATAAAGTGATGCTTATTAGTGTATTTTCCGAAGGAAATACACTATTGCGTTTTGTGTTTTTTTATTTTCGAGGTGTCATTTATCAACATTTTGTACCATCAAACACAACAGTTGACAGTGCGTATTATTGCAAAGTAGTAAAGGAGTTGAGAATGCACATTTCCCGGAAACCGTCGGACTTGAAAGCTCCGTGGATACTCCATCAAAACAATGCGCAGCCTCACACATCGAGCTTAACACGTGAATTTATGAGTAAAAATGGAGTTGAAACAATCCCTCATCCCCCTTATAGCGCTGACTTGGCTCCATGTGATTTTTGGATGTTTCCCACGCTTAAAAAGGAGCTTCGCGGACGAAGATTCGTATCGAAGACCGAAATCCAGAATGCAATTCAAAACTTCTTCAACTCCATCCCAGAGGAATAATTCAGGAAAACAATGTTGGATAAGTGGCAAGAGCGCATGAAAAAGTGCATCCGGTTTGATGGACGGTACTTTGAAAAGCAAAAGGAAGTTATGGAAGATTCGGAGGAAAGTGGATACGAATATTAACTTTTTAAATCCTGGTAAGCGAAAAATCTTCCTAAAAACCGTAGGGGTAAACTTTCCTCACTAATTTCAAATTGTCATAACTCGGTCAATTTTTATTCGATTGAGCTGATCTTGGTTTTAATCGATAGGTATTGAGTTGATCTTTAAAATGAGACCAAAATCATGTCTGTATCTATCTTAATTTTGAAGTTACAGAACCAGCCCCGGTACTTTTGGGACACCCTACGTATGATATTTCCACTCTACACATATGCTCGAATACGCATCATAAGGGACCTATGTGCTTCCTAATCTGCCAAGTATTAATTATTGTTAGATGATTGGTCTAAAACATTCAATACAACCAGTAAAAATTAACTGTCCCCTGCGAGATTCGAACCCCCGCTCGCACAAAAAGTGTCACTCTCCCAGAGGCAAAACGGTAACGCAGCCAGTTGAGCTATTTCGCTGTTCAGATGTGCCTTGAGAAAAAGAGAACACTTAAGTGATCTCGGACGCTGAGAGGGGCTTCACAAAAGACGTCCTTGAGATTTCAACGGTTCGGCCACTGGCGTGATAAGACACAACGGATCAACCGCATTACTCTGTGAGACATTGTTTACCTATGCTGTCATGTGTCACGAGGTTCATCTCACCATGGATTTGCGATCGCGGCAGTAAGCTGAGGCAATATTTCTGTATTCATGGATTAAATCCATCAATCGAGTTCTGATTTTGGCTCATATATCCGTAACGGGTCCTCCAGAGCAATTTTCCACCTTGTACGATGGTTATTATTTCTTTATATCTATGTTTAAAATTTGAGGTGGGATAATGGCGGCTTCTCAAGAGCAACGAGGTAGGCGATCTTTTGCACCAACGAACAGAAAACTGATGGCGAAAAATAACCAATCAGAACCTCCCAAAAAAAAGAATTTGCCTAAAAACGGAACTTCGTGGTTCTGCGCAGATTTACCAGTCAGACACGACATCTCCAGGTGGCAAAAAACTCGCTGAAAGCGAATTTTAGCAATCAACACAACTTGACGTAGAGACATGATTGGCTAAAAAATACAACGGTTTTTGATACATCGGAAAATCAACCAAAAATCGGAGACTGGGCGAAACGCTCAAGGTCGCACAGGTATAGGGAATTCCATAGCGAAAGCAACGGAACGATTCTAATATCATGGGGAACTCCGTTCCCATGACAAAATATTATGTTATGAATTTTTGAGGTATGCACTTGCAAAGGCTCCTTCTTCTCTGAGGGTATGTAAGAGTGACACGGAAAATAATTGATTGCATCATTTGACGATTAAATTGTTTAAAGATATATCCGACATGTTTCAAATGTACATTTTACAAAAATGGAAAGCTAATTTAACTATACGGAGGTGGTTAAATTAGCATTTTTTCATTGTAAAATCTATGTTGAAACATGTTTATTTCCCCCCTTTCGGAGCCTTTTTGAGGTATGCCATTGCAAAGGCTCCTTGTTCTCTGATGAAGGTCTGTAAAATTTAGCTTACCCTCAATGGCATGAACTAATTTTGGATCTCAGATTCTGAGGGCACTAATGTATTTTATAGCTTGGATAAAAAACATAGTGTCAAATTTTGTTTTCAAAATTTAAAATTTTTGTAAATCAGTTATTCAGAGAAGGGAAAAACTAATGAAAATTTGCTAAATCATGCCACAGAGGAAAAATTCAATTTGTGAAAACCCCCGTAAAATACTTTGTGACGAATTTTTGAGGTATGCCTTTGCAAAGGCTCCTTGTTCTCTGAGGGTCTTTAAATTTACACGGAAAAAATTGATTGCCAATTTTACGATTAATTGTTTAAAAATATATCCGACATGTTTCAAATGTACATTTTACAATAATGGAAAGCTAATTCAACTACGAAGGTGGTTAAATTAGTATTTTCTCATTGTAAAATCTACATTGAAACATGTTTATTTCCTCCCTTTCGGAGCCTTTTCGAGGTATGCCTTTGCAAAGGCTCCTTGTTCTCTGAAGGTCTTAAAAATTTAGCTTACCCTTAATGGCGTGAATTAATTTTGGATCTCAGATTCTGAGGGACACTGATGTATTTTGTAGCTTGGATAAAGTACACAGGGTACCAAATTTTGTTGTCAAAATTTAAAATTTTTTGGTATCAGTTATTCAAAAGAAAAAGGGAAAAAGTAATGAAAATTTGCAAAGTTTTTAATTAAGTTCGAATTAATTGTGGATCTCAGATTCTGAGGGAAACTTATATATTTTGATTTAGTAAAATTTTTGGAAATCGGTTATTGAAAAAAAGACCATGCCACAGAGGAAAAATTCAATTTGTCAAAACCCCCATGAAATACTTTGTTATGAATTTTTGAGGTATGCACTTGCAAAGGCTCCTTCTTCTCTGAGGGTCTTTAAGATTGACGGAAAATAATTGATTCCATAATTTGACGACTAAATTGTTTAGAAATATATCCGACATGTTTCAAATGTGCTTTTTACAATTATGGAAAGCTACTTTAACTACAGAGGTGGTTAAATTAGCATTTTTTCATTGTGAAATTGTATAAAAAAATTGAAAACGAATGTTAACGATTTTCCCAGTAAATTAGGTTTTTATTGAGGGAAAAATGGCAGCGTTTGATGGCTCATACTACGTTCTTTCTTCTTAATACGGCGCAGTACAGGCGATACAGGGCTCATGGAATCGTGGAGGGATCCCAACCACTCAACATTTTTAACATCCGTGAATTTCGCGCGCAAATTGTCCACCACTCTCGTAGTCAAGTTCATTACTACGACGATGTTAATAACATTAATCCAACGATTTTATGCGACTCATCCCAACCGTTTTCACCTTCACCTCGGTCATGATGTAACCAACACCGAAACTCGTTACGAAAAGCGTCGGTTTGTCGACGCCCGTTTGTCTCGTGCGGGGAATATGCGAATCATTTCAGCTGAATTTTAAACTTTCATTTTTATTCGCGGTAATGTGTCTGGCTTTCTTCCGTAAACGTTCTTTTCGGGCAGCGCTAAGTGTGGTGCGAAGTGACGGACGAATTATTTCACTCGAAGAAAGCGAGTCTGGTTCTTGCTGAATTGAAATTCCTCGCTTATTTTGCGGAGCATTCCGAAAACCTCAGGACGCCGCCCCCACCTACTCCTTTTATGACTATTTGGAGAATATCACTCCAAACTGCATCATTTATTTTAATTTGAGCGTTAAATTGCGTCCTCCTTGACTGGAGCGCTTGTAGGAGGAGTTTAGATAGAAGATAGCGATTAAGGATTGAGACCGGCATTAATGCTCCGTGAAAGTAAATTCTGTATGAATTTTGCGAATACTTTTCGAATTAGTTGAAATTCTGATAATGTTGTAAGAATAAAAGAAAAAAATAAAAAACGCAAGACTTATACTTTTTAATCGTCGTATTATCTGACGTTACCCTGTAAATTTAATGCAATTTGTTTAGTTTTAGTTT